AGAGCCAATCACGGCTTTTTCTGGTGAGCGACAGCACTCAAACAGCAAGCGGGATAATATTTACATTAGTTTACGTGCTCTAAATGCTCATTTTGTTCTGTGCATGTGCTTGAGTTTTGTTTTATACATTTAAAAATATCTTGTATTAAAGGTAGCGCTGTCAAAATTAACGCGTTAACGCATGTGATTAATTTTAAATGATTAATGCGTTAAAATAAAATTTACGCAGTTGGAGGTTTTCTTTACTTCCTGTTGTGGTAGACATGTGTTTAACATGCAAGAAATGTGGATAAGACCAAGAAAGCACTTTTTGAAGGCAAGTTTCAGTATAAAACAATTAGTCGCATCACCAGGCTCTCCAAAGTTTCATGCAATTTCGGGTGTTTCATTTTTAACTTTCTGTTGTAAGTTGATACCGCATGGCGAACAGAAAGAAAATCCTCCGCATTTCGTGACTCTGTGTTCCTTTAAGGTAATAAAATCACTGCTTAGGCCACACGGTAGACTTTTAATAAGAGTATTATCTTAATCATGTTAAAATCGGAGTATTGGTGTCTTATGTAAATGTACTCAGAACGTCTCTGATGAAGTCGCGAGCTGTCAAAGACAGGGCATTACTCTGCCTTTCAGCATGAGCCCTCCAAGTTTAGCGTGTTTCCTCATTAAACGCAACGAAAGCGTATGCTTCGCGTTGTTGTGTCAGAATCCTTGTGAAATACAGTAATACTTTAGGACGCTTAGTTTAAGCAGATTTGATGAACGTGATCATGTGTGTGTTGAATCTGAGGGGAGTCGCTCCAGTATGGAAGGCCGTTGGGGCCAAAACGTCTGCAGCGCGTTGTGTGATATTCCTAGTCTTAGCAACTGGATGAATGTAAAGGAGGATTAAGCGAAATTGTTTCTACTTTATAATTAATGTTCTCAACTCACAGCAATAAAACATTACAATGAGTGCACCAGTTTGTATTCTAAAGTTTATTATTATAATTTTTCATTTTCCATATCTGCAATGCCTGTATTTTGGCATTTTTTTGCAGTCCACTTAGAATCCAACATGGAAATCAATGTTTTCTTTAATGGCATTGATTGTTTTGAAATTTAAATGTCATTAACATGCCTGTGTTGTTTTAATTTCTGTAATAAATATGGCTGTCAAGCCAGGATCTTGATGGTTTATTGTGGGTATGTTGTTTACATTAAGAAATCTGTGTTGCAAGTTAAACAAAAATTCTATTAAACAATTATATTTTGAATTTTAATTCTAATAAACAATTATATTTTGAATTTAAATAGTTTTTGTCTTGCGTTTACATTAATTTTACATTTGAATAGCCAAAATTACAAGTTTCAGTATTTTAAATGCGATTAATCGCGATTATTTTTTTTTTTGAAGGTGCGATTAATTAGTTAATTTTTTTAAATTGATTGACAGCACTAATTAAAGGACAAAATAGTTTTAGAAATAATACATGTAAACATATTTATGAATTATACATTTTAATACAAGAATTATTGTGTTGTGAACTAGAATATCTGATTGTTTATGAAAAGCATCATCAATACACCATGATGCACTGAGATATCCAACTGAACCAAATCGATGACATAATCTTAACCAAACTGAACCGTGAGACCAGTGTAGACACCCCTTATAATTATATCATTTTAATTTTATGTACGTTTTTTATGAAAGCTTTTAATTTTAAGTATTATATTAAATTAAACTGTTCGATTTGCACATTGTATGTCAAGCTTAGTTGTTTTGCTTTATTTTTTCTAGTCATTTATTATATGCTATATAGTTTTTATTGATCTCTAGCAGCTCTCATGAGTGTGTTTTTTCCTCCACAGAGACGAGGAGATCCGTGAGAAGTGTGGTGAAGATGCCGTCCACTATCTGTCTTTCCAGCGCCACATCATCGGTCTGCTGGTGGTGGTGGGCGTTCTGTCCGTCGGCATCGTTTTACCAGTCAACTTCTCAGGCAACCTGCTGGGTGAGTGCGGAGGTCAGAGGTCAAGGGTCAGCTTGAGGATCTTCATTACAGAAGGCTTCGCATTAATGATCATATGTTTGTAGCCAAAATAAGGTTTGTAAGGAGTGGCACAGTGGCTCAGGCATCGCCTCACAGTAAGAAGGTTGCTGGTTCGAGTCCTGGCTGGGTCAGTTGGCATTTGTGTCTGCTTAGTCCCTTATTATCAGGGGTGGCCACGGTGGAATTAACCGCCAACTATTCAGGCATATGTTTTACACAGTGCATGCCCTTCTAACCGCAACCCAGTACTGGAAAACACCCATACACACTCATACACTACGGCCAATTTAGTTTATCAATTCCCCTATACCACATGTGTTTGGACAGTGGGGGAAACCGGAGCACCCAGGAGGAAACCCACACTAACACGGGGAGAACATGCAAACTCCACACAGAAACACCAACTGACCCGGCCGAGACTCGAACCAATGACCTTCTTGCTGTGAGGCCACAGTGCTGTCATATTAAAACATAATATGGCTTAATAAATAAGAAATATGAAAAAAATTATATTTAAATAAATACGGAAATATTTTAAATAACTAAAAATAATCTGAATTCAAAGGCACATCTTAGAATGACCTTCAGCCAATCAAAATCAAGCATTCGGCAGACAGGCAGATTATATGTTTTTAAACTACAGAGCTTTGATGATGATGATGATGATTATTATTATTATTATCATTATCATTATTATTATTATTATTATTATTATTATTATTATTATTATTATTATTATTATCATTATTATTATTTTATTATTATTACTATTATTATTATTATTGTAATTATTATTATTATTATTATTTTATTATTATTTATCGTTATTATTATTATTATTGTTATTATTATTATTATTATTATTATTATTATTATTATTACTTTTATTATTACTATTATTATCATTATTATTATTATTATTATTATTATTATTATTATTATCGTTATTATTATTACTATTATTTTTATTATTATTTTTATTGTTATTATCATTATTATCATTATTATTACTATTATTATTATTACTACTACTACTACTACTACTACTACTACTACTATTATTATTATTAATATTATTATTATTATTATTATTATCATCTATGTGAGGATATTCAGGGTCAAATAACAACCTAAAATCAAAAATTGATATTTGTCTTTAACATGAAACAAGAAATGTATATAAAGTATACATATGCTGAAATGCTTAGTAAATATATTTGTTTTTATTTCATTTTACTATATATTTGCTTTATTTTCTCTTCCATTTTTTCCATTAAGTTTTAAAGGTTTTTTTTTTGTGTATTTTATAACGTTTTTATGTTAATATTTTGTTTCTTTATCTAATTAATTTTTAATTTTTATTTTAAAGGTTATTTTGAAGTTTATTTACAATTATTTTTAGTTTTTATTTACGTTTCTGCAGTTTATATATTTCACTATTACTAGAACTGTTATTATTCATAATATTTCATATTTTTATCACAGTATTTATTTATTTTATTCAGTCATTTATTTATTCATTTATTTTTCTTAGGCTTAGTCCCTTTATACATTATGGGTCGCCACAGCAGAATGAACCACCAACTTATCCAGTATATGTTTTGCACAGCGGATGCCCTTCCATCCGCAGCCCAGTACTGGAAAACTTTATTTTATTTAATTATTTTTTATTATTCTGTATCACCAACAAAGATCCTATTGATTATCATTTATTTCTATTGGTCGTATTCAAAGATGTACATCTCTCAATCCAGTCCAGTTATACTGTATGAGTGACTCTCCATCATTAGCCGCTGTGCTGACATTAGTGCGGGCCGTGTGTGTGTCCTCTAGCCCAGCACACACACTGTAGATTATCATCAGAGAGGGTTAATCCACTACACTGCACTGCTCCAGTAATGAGATTCAACCTCTATCTGCTTGCTGGGTAATTGGATGCCTGTTGCAAAGAGAGAATGACCCAGAGACACACACACACACACACACACACACACACTGATGGAAAAAGGGTCGTTTACATCAGACCAGAACAATGTGGACAAAGTCAAAGAGAGCAGAGCGTTCGGTCACATTAATATAAAGAGAATGATCACAGTTTGTTTTCATGCGTCGTTCAGGCCTGAAATGGAAGCAGTGGAAGAATAATGACTTTCTCAGTTTGTCTTGAACTGGATTCTGACCACTGGCAGCAAAATGTGAACTCTATTTAAATGATCTAGGCCCAAAGTCTAAAGCTCATAGTGCAGAAGCATTAAGACCGAATCTGAATCCACTTTTGCTATTTAAGCTGGGGCTGACGCGATTGCCTTAGCAGCGTCAGCCAATGAAATTAGTCTGCAATCGGCTACTGTCTGAGCTGGGGTATTTGCATGAAGCAATTTAATTGGCTGACGCTTCCGTTGGCGGACTTTTGCAGCGAGCAACGCTACTGAAGCGGCGCTGACGGATCCACAATGCAGTTCGGTAATGCCTGATGTCACCCATTTAAAGTGAGTAGTGAATATAGCGTTAGGATGGAAAAATACACTCTGTGCCCCGTCGCATGGTCTAACAGGGTTGTGCTTATTCTCTTAATGACTTTTGTGTGTGTTTTGAGTGTAATGTGCATTAAACCAGTCAGAGTCTCTTCTCCCATTTCCTTTAAGAGTCAGTTGCGTTGCATTTGCTGTTTATATGGCGGAGTTTGTAAGTGTAAAAACTGAACGCTTCACTAGCGAGAAAACGGTTAAACAGAGCATCTGCAGCACAAGAATAAAGAACGAGCCTCCTCCATTCAGCCTCTTTACTTTACTTCTACTC